CACTCAGATGACTGGAATAATAAAGAAAGATGACTTATTCAGTACCCATAAACAACTGAGACGACCTGCATAAAGAGGAAAGCTGACTTAGCCAGTACCCATTAACCACTGAGATGACTGGAATAATAAAGAAAGATGACTTATTCAGTACCCATTAAAAACTGTGACGATTTGAATAATGAGGAAAGCTGACTTAGCCAGTACCCATTAACCACTGGGACGACTGGAATAATAAAGAAAGATGACCCATTCAGTACCCATTAACAACTGGGACGACTGGAATAATAAAGAAAGATGACTCATTCAATACCCATTAACAACTGTGACGACTGTCATGATAAAGAAAGATGACTTATTCAGTACCCATAAACAACTGAGACGACTTGCAAAATGATGGAAGCTGACTTAGCCAGTACCCATTAACCACTGAGATGACTGGAATGATAAAGAAAGATGACTTATTCAGTACCCATTAACAACTGGGACGACTGGAATAATAAGGAAAGGTGACTTAGCCAGTACTCATTAACCACTGAGATGACTGGAATAATAAAGAAAGATGACTTATTCAGTACCCATTAAAAACCGTGACGATTTGAATAATGAGGAAAGCTAACTTAGCCAGTACCCTTTAACCACTGAGATGACTGGAATAATAAAGAAAGATGACTTATTCAGTACCCATAAACAACTAAGACGACCTGCACAATGAGGAAAGCTGACTTAGCCAGTACCCATTAACCACTGAGATGACTGGAATAATAAAGAAAGATGACTTATTCAGTACCCATTAAAAACTGTGACGATTTGAATAATGAGGAAAGCTGACTTAGCCAGTACCCATTAACAACTGGGACGACTGGAATAATAAAGAAAGATGACTTATTCAATACCCATTAACAAATGGGACGACTGGAATAATAAAGAAAGCTGACTTATTCAGTACCCATTAACAACTGGAACGACTGGAATAATAAAGAAAGATGACTCATTCAATACCCATTATCAACTGAGACGACTGGAATAATAAAGAAAGATGACTCATTCAGTACTCATTAACAACTGGGACGACTGGAATAATAAAGAAAGATGACTTATTCAGTACCCATTAACAACTGGGACAACTGGAATAATAAAGAAAGATGACTTATTCAGTACCCATTAACAACTGGGACGACTGGAATAATAAAGAAAGATGACTTATTCAGTACCCATTTACAACTGGGACGACTGGAATAATAAAGAAAGATGACTTATTCAGTACCCATTTACAACTGGGACGACTGGAATAATAAAGAAAGATGACTTATTCAGTACCCATTTACAACTGGGACGACTGGAATAATAAAGAAAGATGACTTATTCAGTACCCTTTTACAACTGGGACGACTGTCATGATAAAGAAAGATGACTTATTCAGTACCCATTAACAACTGGGACGACTGGAATAATAAAGAAAGATGACTTATTCAGTACCCATTTACAACTGGGACGACTGGAATAATAAAGAAAGATGACTTATTCAGTACCCATTAACAACTGGGACGACTGGAATAATAAAGAAAGATGACTTATTCAGTACCCATTTACAACTGGGACGACTGGAATAATTAAAAAAGATGACTTATTCAGTACCC